TTTTTTTTTTTTTCGGTTCCGCGTTCGGCCGAACGTCCGAACGCGTCGAGAGGGGGTCCCAAACGTTCGGGCGTTCGGGTTCGGGCCGTCCCGAACGCCGGCAACCCTGGTCATTATAGTATTACGGGGAAGCAGGGTCATATCAAAATTTTTTAGTAAATTAAAAAAAAAAAATTAAAAAATATTTTTTTATTCTTCATTTTTAATTTTTTTGGGGCCCGGCCGGGCAAGTGGTCCTGGGGGCCGAGTCCCACTTGCACCGTTGAACTAGCATCATGGGGGGGGGGGTTGCTGGCAGGCACCGGCGGGTCTAGTCCTACAGTTTCGAATCGCCAACTTTGACGATTTTTAGCGCTCCGGATAATAGTCAGAAAAATCTGAAAATTTAGGATCCCGTAGATTACCTTGTGATATTTCCAGGAAAAATATGAAAAAAAATTAAAAAATAACATTTAGGCCGTGAAATGCAAGTCGCGCCAATTTGGCATATTTTCCATTTTTTTGTGTGTGTGTGAGAGAGAGAGAGGGAAAGAAACTTACCTGTCGTTATTGTTGCTGGCGGCCATAGTCATGATCTTGAAAACCTATGGACATCATTTCAAGTTATATTGAGTTCCGTTTGTCTTTGTGTTGTGTGTGTTTGTGTTGCTGGGTTCCAGTTGTTTAGTTAGGCAGGCCTGACCGAGACATCTCGGACTTGGCCCCGACGAGATGCCTTTTTTCACAAAGGGGGGGCCACTCGCAGGCGCCGGTGGGTCAAGTCTCGCAGTTTCAAACCGCCAACTTTTACGATTTTTAACGCTCAGAATTGTTGTCTGAAAAATCTGAAAATTTGGGACTCCGTAGATTGCATTGTGGTCTTTATAGAAAAAATATCCAAAAATTTCAAAAAACAATATTTAGATTGTGAAATGCACGGCACGCCAATTTGGCATATTTTCCATTTTTGCCACTCTGCCATATGAGGGCCAATAAAAAAAGTGCTCCAACTTTGGCAATTTTCGTGCTTAGAATAATGGCTAGAAACATCTGAAAATTTGAGATTGCTTAAACTACGTTGTGAGCTTTGCAGAAAAAATATCAGGAAAAAAAAAGAAAAATCATTTAAACCGCGAATTACAGGCCGCGCCAATTCGCATTTTTTTCGTTTTTGCCACTCGGTCGGTTCACCTGACTATGCTAGTGGTACCCCTCATGACTTTGTGCCACCAGTCCTTTGGGACATCCGTTAAAATTAGAACGATACAGAGAAGATTAGCATGACCCCTGCGGAAGGATGACACACATTAATCGAGAAATAATCTAAGTTACCAATGGTCCGGGGGTCGATCGTCTCCCCCGGACGTCTCCCCATACGTCCGGTACCCCCGTTGTCCGGAAAAACAAAAAAAAAAAATCCGTAAAAAATATATATATATTTGTTTTTCGTTTTTTGATTTTTAACTCATGATTGACTGCGAATTTGAACATGACTCCAAGGCAAAAGTTGCTTGTATTGTTATGTTACATAATATATATATATTTTTCCCCAGTTTTTTCTGAGACTTTTTTTTTTTTTTTTTTTTTTTGCGCTAGGTCGGACATACCTCGTCCGGTCGGACGTCGAACAAGACGTCCGGTCGGACATCCCGAACGGTCAAGGAGGTCCCGGATATCCAATCCAACAACCTCGAAAAAAAAAAAAAAAAAAAGAATTTGTGTCATCGGGCCCCCGAATGTTTTGGTGGCGAGGGGAGTGGTGGTTTAATCTCGGGTGTGGCCTAGACATCTTGGTTGTGGCCCCACCATGCGATGAAATGTTTTTTTGTTTTAAATAATCTCGATCGTGGCCGAGACATCTCGGTTGTGGCCCCACCATGTGACGAGATGCTTTTGTTTTTTTTTCTCTCGAGCACGGCTGATACTTTTTTGTTTTTTTCCTTGGGCGTGGCCGAGACATCTCGGTCGTGGCCCCACCATGCCATGCGGGGAAAAAAAAATAAAAAAAAATTGAATTCCCTTAAGCTCAACCTCTTCAATTACCTGTCGAATCTGTGAGTATGGCCCTTCAGACCCTTTTTATTGTCATTATAGTATTTTGGGGAACTCCGTAGTATTCATATTCGTGTTCAAGTCTCCAACGGGGGAAGATGTAGGAGATTATGCAATAACTGCTATAGTAGGTGGAGGATATCGGTCAGGGATCACCAAGTAGCATAAGCATCGGGCTTCTTCGATGGGCAACTCACTGTGCCTCCCCTCGGGCTCCCATCCCCTACGAACATCAGCAGTCTCTGCTCAATGCCGCTCGGGGGGACCAATAGCCTATCTTTAGGTGGCGAGCGCAAAGCTTGCCCAGGAAGGTATATGATGTCACTGGGTATAAGAGGTGCCAGTGGTCACGCTGTCTTGCCCAACATGGGCAATTAGCCCGAGAGCGTAACCACCTCTTAGATAGTTTATAACTCTCTCTCTCTCTCTCTCTCTCTCTCTCTCTCTCTCTCTCTCTCTCTCTCTCTCTCTCTCTCTCTCTC